GGTATTTAAGTAAGATATATTACCTTCTGGGATCTACTGTATATATAACATTTATTACAGTATCTGTGTATGGTGTGTAAGTAAGATATATTACCTTCTGGGATCTACTGTACATATAACATTTATTACAGTATCTGTGTGTGGTGTGTAAGTAAGATATATTACCTTCTGGGATCTACTGTACATATAACATTTATTACAGTATCTGGGTGTGGTAAGTAAGATATATTACCTTCTGGGATCTACTGTATATATAACATTTATTACAGTATCTGGGTGTGGTGTGTTCTTGATATATACAGTAGATCCAAGAAGGTAATATATCTTACTTACACACCACACCCAGATACTGTAATAAATGTTATATGTACAGTAGATCCCAGAAGGTAATATATCTTACTTATATATACAGTAGATCCAAGAAGGTAAATATAACATTTATTAAAGTATCTGTGTGTGGTGTGTAAGTAAGATATATTACCTTCTTGGATCTACTGTATATATAACATTTATTATAGTATGTGGGTGTGGTATGTAAGTAAGTTATATTACCTTCTGGGATCTACTGTATATATAATGTTTAGCTTAGTATCTTTGTGTGAAATATAAATAAGATATATTACATCCTAGAAACTAATAAGAACTAATGTTAATGCTGTAAAGGTGTTGTTGTAGGCTGTTTGTTTAAAGTTTAAACATCTGTTGTTTGGCCACAGGGAGGTTTAATGTAGAAGGTTGGGTGTGGCTCAATGACTAAAACCTATTTCAAGGTGGTAAACTGAGTAGTATAAAACATAGGTTAGGCTAGAATAGAAAATTAATCATTATTGGGTTTATTAGTATGTTACATTGGATTTTAAACATTAATATATTATTTAATTGTGTTTGTTGGTATTTCAGTGTTGTAGTTATTAAATTCATGTTTTGACGAAGAAATAGATATGAGCAAAATAAAAAATGAGTGGAGTGTTTTTATTAGTTTCTACAGTTAAGCCAATGTGTACAACTTGTAGTCAAAGACATGAAATGCTTTACATTCTAATTTTTTAAAATAATGCTTAAGAATCTTCTACCAGTATAAACTGTTACAACAACAGAGCTGGGCAATTAGTGACATTTGGGTATGAAAAAGATTAAAAAAAAAAATTGTGTCAATTGCTACCAGCTAGTTGGTTTCCTTCCAGTCAGATATTTAACAACAACAACAACATCAAATTCAAGAGTTGTTGTGGTGGGTGCTACTATCTACTTGCCTTCTCTGTAGTGAGAAATTAAACATTAATAATAGTGGCAGATAACCTTAGTATCCTTGCCATAGTAAAAACATGGTGAGTGGGTTTGCTGGCAATAATTATAATTAGTTGATTATATTTGTGAGAATCGATTTAATCATAATTTTGATTAATCGATTATTAGAATAACTAAAAACATTAATAATCAGATACACTAACTTTGATGAATTGATGCTAATTGTAATTTTGATTAATTCCTTAATTCACATGATACTAATCAATGTAATTGCTGCTCATAGGTGTTCGATTATATTTCTAAACTGTACAAAACAGTTAATAATCACCACAGTATGTTCCTCTTGTTTTAGTAACTGTGAACTGGTATACCAGTTAAATATATCGTACAAACTGATAGATTTGGTTAAAATACTACATCTTTAATAAAAGACTGGGTTATGCTGATAGATCTTTATAATGAAGAGAATAACATGCCTAGTTCAAACTTAGTCCTGGGTAACCAGACTTAATAGTTCATACTATTGGCGTATGTTTATTAACTTTCTTTCTAAGAACTGTTTACTTTATAGTTAATTTGGGGGTAACTGATGTTAATAGTTCTAACTATCAGTATTATTTAATACATGAAGCCCAGTGTTTGTATTTTAAACCTTAAATAACTTACAACTTTTGGTTTTATAGTCCAATTAAGTTTGAAAAACTTAGATTTTTTAGGAAGTCTTAGGTATTCCATCACAAAAATATTTGCACATGGTTTTATGTGTGAAGTTGCTTTTGAATATGTGTTGTAATTATTTAAGATTTATCCAATAGTTTATACTGACATGTTAAGTACTCTGATATTATTATAAGACACCAAACATTTTATGTATTAGGTTGTTCGAGGAGACAGGGCAGTTGTTTCTCAAGCTTGGCCTTTTGATAACATCAAAGAAGTTGTCAAGAGAAGGTTTCAGCTGCAGGATAATGCCCTGGAAATATTCCTAACCAATGGCCTAACTTACTTAGTTGCTTTTCACTCCACCAGGGTATGTTTCTATTATAATATGGTTATACTTCTTAAATTTTGAGAAAGATGCATTTCTGCTGTATTAATTACAATGGTTTCTTGTTTTATTATATCTTTAAGCAAGTAAAAAAAAATATTAATTTTGGAATTTATTTTTGTATATAAGAACCTAAACATGATATATTTTTATTGGTTTCAATCATTGAAGTTCTCAGATAAAACATGATTTAAACTCTTCAGGAAGGAGACAGAGCAATATTCTGTCGAAAAACGGAGTGTGTTAAGCTCTTCAGGAAAAGCCACGTTCTGTCGAAACAAGGAGTGTGTTAAGCTCTTCAGGAAGAGCCACGTTCTGTCGAAACAAGGAGTGTGTTAAGCTCTTCAGGAAGAGCCACGTTCTGTCGAAACAAGGAGTGTGTTAAGCTCTTCAGGAAGAGCCACGTTCTGTCGAAACAAGGAGTGTGTTAAGCTCTTCAGGAAGAGCCACGTTCTGTCAACACTTAGTCCTAAATAAACCATTTCATTATGTTTATAAGTTGTTGTTTGACAATTTACTATTTATTATATTAGTGTAATGTGCTTCCAAACACAAACACATACCAATAGGAAGACATTTAATAAGAATAAGAATTATTTTAGATAAGACAGTATCAGTATAACTAACTTAAGCCATGAAGTAAGCATTCAGTGTATCAAATAAGGAGTTATGAAATGTGTTCAATAGGAGACTACTACTGTGTTTAAATATCATACAGCTTCTTACAGTATTCATACGACACTGCATATATAATAATGTTTATGTGAAACAGTCTAGGATTAAAAAAAGTATCTTAAACCTAAATTGTTGTACCGGAAGATGCCTCTCATATTAAATGTAGGGTAGGTTGGAAATGTATTTATAAAAAAGCTGAAAATAGGAAGATTATTCTAATGAAAACAATTGATTATTTGAATGTAGTTGATTGATAAGACCAGTGATTATTTGATTGTAAAATTCCACTGTTTGCCAAACTCTGGTCGTGAGTCATAACTTCCAGATGTTTAACTCGTAATAAGTCATACACAAGATGAAAAACATTCATTTGAAGCTGTGGAAGAGAGCAAGGACTTTTTAAACATGAAGAATTATCTAATAAATATTTATTACAGTATTATACATAATGAGAGGCTAGTATGATAATGTTTGTGATTGTGCTAGGCAATCTGTTGATTTTATAATTAAGTAGTTGCTGAAGATATATTTAATTTTGACAAAATGTAGAAAACTTGACATAAAAATCTAAGTTGCCATCACTTTAAGCCTAATATGAAACTGAAGATCATTAGCTGAGAAGGCTATTAAGGTAACACATTATGCACCATAACTCTAAGGTGGTGATAGAGATTGAAATGGGACTTGAAAATAATGAAATAAATGTAGAGCTAGACATTTAAATGCTGTATTTAAACTACATCAGAAACATGTATGTCACATGGAAGGTGTTAAAACTACACCAGAAACATGTATATCACATTGAAGGTGTTAAGTGGTTCCATCTACAACTTCCCCAGACATTTGAGACTTTGTGTGTTTTATTTCATCACACCAATTCTAGAACTATGTATAGCCAACAATGCAACCATTCAAATAGTTCAGAACAATGTTTTAATGATACTTTTGCTGAAATTAGGGCTTTTCTCAAAGTTGTAAAAGCAAAAATTAAGAACATATTAGTTTCAAGAAAAACAATTTTTGCCATTCTGATAATAAGCAAATGCAAAATACATAAACTTAATTGCAAATAATCATTTCAAAACTCAATATATTACTCTAGGTTTGTTCAAATATTAGCTCATCTTCCATATACAGAGCATCCATTGATGTCTTTTAAAATTGTAAATGCTTAATATTTGTGTAATAAAGAAATGAGTGTTATAGTTTACACTCAAAGCTCAAAGCATTAATCACTGAAACTCACCAACTCATTCACCCTAGGATGTAATGTAGTTAGACCTTTCAAGACTATCAAAATCACGTATCCCTAAAGCAAAAGTTTTAGCTTTTAATATTTTATAGAAATATATCAACCATACATTTCAATCCTTAGGAAAACAACCAAAAAAAAACTCATCAAATGTAATAGGTTTAATGACAGTTTTCTTCACACGAACCTTTGCAGCTTGTCTTTCCTTTACATTTTGACAGTTTCCAGGTCCTATGTTTTCCAGTCGAAGTTAAATGAACTCTTCTGGGTATAATCACTTTCACATTCAAACTTCTACATAGTTCAGATCATTGACTAATAGAATGTTTTACTATAGAAAAAAAACATACTTGCTGGCATACACATGTTCATCCATTTCTGTAATATAGACTACAATTTTATTACCAGAAGCTGAACAACCTTGAATTAATTGAAAATAAGAAGGAAAAATCATAATGGAAATATTTTAACACTTGGAAATTTGTAATAATCTGAAATGATAATAATTGGAAAACTTGATTATCTTTGGTGTTGATTTAATCATAATTTTCTTTCACCAACTATTTTACGAGACATCCTACTTCTGCAGTATTTCTTCTATTAAAATACTCTCTAGCACTGCAGTGCCCTAGATTTATTAGCCCTAGTTACAGTATTTGTTTTTGATATCCCACACACATCTTTTTTTTTAATTAAAAAAAAATTCATCTTTCTCCAGGAACAGGAGGAATTTTTCTCTCACCTGATGAATTGTCCACTCCCCCACCTTGTGGAGACAGAAACCTTAACAGCACTGACACACATGTGGCGTGAACGGACCTTGACTAACTTCGAGTACTTGACACAGTTAAATAAATTGGCTGGCCGTTCTTTCAATGATTTGATGCAGTACCCTGTGTTTCCATTTATCCTGTGTGATTATTCCAGTCCAACTATAAATCTGAAAGATCCTGATACATACAGGTGAGATAACAGGTTTAACACAAATTATAGTTCTGTTAAATATGGTATGGAGACGACATTTATATTCCTCAGATATCTGTCTTTGTTGATCAAAGCTTAATAGTGTCTTGTTAAGGATCTGCTACCTTTTAACTATTTCAGAATGGGCATCATTTTGTTGCATGTTAAGAGGTTTTAGTGAGTTGCATTCAAATTTTAACATTGTATAAGTTTTAAGTTCTTAATTTTATAAGGCAATATTAATCCTCAATTCCCTCTAGTGTGAGAATTGTGTCATTTGATCTCTAGGTATTCCCTCTTCTCTAATTTATTTACCACCCCTCCAAGAAATATGAAATTTAACCTAAATTATTCATTATAATGTTGTCATTGCTCAGACAAAGCATAATTTTTGTAGCCTTCAATCTTACATGATTACAGAGCCATGAACTACAAAAGCAGACCCCACTTACTACACCTACCTGTCACATGCCAATTATTCTCTGTGATATTTAATACTATATTATTTATAACCAATAGAAAGCCAAGGTTTTAATCTATCAAATGAGGTGTTATATTACATTGTTTACTGTACAGAGAATTGTCTACTTTGCTTCCAGTTAAAACTTTATTCCCACAGGAAACAAGTCCAGGAGCTTAGCTAAATTTTTAACATCTCTTGCCGATTAGTGCATTATTTAATTAAATAAATAATTATTTAGTGCAATAGTATTGTTAGTATAAAAAATGTGGGGTTAAGTGTTATTGAAAGTCGACAGCAAAAAAAATAGAACCAGTAAGTACATTACTTCTTGTTTTTCATGTGTATTCTATATTTATTACTATAAAAGTTATTAAAGTGTAAAAATTAAAAACTTTTTAATGTTAGATAATGGTAGATTAGGTAAAATAAATAATAATAATAACAAATCTTCATTTAGCAAGTAGGTCATGTATTATGTAATTCAATAAGGTCACATGAGCTCCACTTTCACCAATTGATTTACAAATTTTATGGTGGGAATATTAACTTAACAGTCCAAAGAGTAATAATACAGTAACATTTTAGTATAAACAGATGTGTACTGTTACAAGTTGAAAGCTATTTAGGATAAATAAAAAATAGTTTCATGTTACAATTTGAAGGCATTCTAGAAAGGAAAAAGGGGTAATTTAAATTTACATTGAATGTTTTTTATGGTTACATGGCTGGTTAAATCGAAGGAGTCTGCATTGAGTTAGGTTAGAGAGAATAACAGATTAAAAAATATATAAAGTTTTACTGAAAATAACATTTTATAATTATTTAGGAGGTTTTAGAGATTACACAGATGAATAAAAATACTTTTAATTTTAACATAAATCAATTTTCACTCAGACTATTAAAAAAAACTACTCAATATATTCACAGACAAATCTTTATTGAAAATACTTAATAAAAAATTTTAATTTTTTGTGTACAAAAGTCTTGTAATGTTTATTGAAAATCAACCAAATTTTGTGAAGATACATGTAATTTATTAAATCTGTAACAAGTACAAAATGGTTGTGAAGTCGGTCAATTCAACTGAACCCATGAGGAAAAGAGTTAACTTTTCTGTGACTGACATCCTAATTACTTTTTGAAGCTAAACTTTGCAAGCTTTTGTAAAAAAATGTGGACAAATACATAGTTGAAGTGACTTCATTACCCTCCCCTAGTCTCAGAAGAGTTAAGACCTATAAAGTTGGAAGTATTATTGAATGTTGTTCCTATTTATGTAGTAAGTTTCACTGGTTGAAATTGTGCTTTCCTGACAATTTCTTAATTTATTGTGGCCTATATAGGGAGGAGAGTTAAAATCAAAAGACTTTAGTAATAGAAATCACACTCGTGTGATATTTAATGTTTTACTAAAGGTAAAAGCTGAGAAATATTTATGAAAATTTATTACTTTTTATAGGTTCTGTGTGTTAGATTGTCATTTATTAAACATGCAGTGTTTAGATAAATAACTGAAACTGATTTTTATTTAAAGTTTGATTTTATTTTACTCTCGTTCTGAATAACATAATTAAGATAACTTAATATTCAAGCACAGATACATTAATGTTTTATTTGAGCATCTTATCTGTTGGTTAAATCTTTGTACTGAAGGTATCTTAAAGCTCAAGTACATTATATTTCAAGGTCATCCTGCACTTATTTTGATCTTTCTCTCACTCCAGTCTGTAATCAATTGTTCTGGCACAGTTATTTACTTTTTATATAAATGTTTTTTCTTTATTAACATCCGAATTATGAGTATCAAAATATTAACTAAAATCACATTTTCTAATTTCTTTCTTGAGTATTTTAAAATGCAACAGCTCACTTGGAATTAAAATGAACGATATGAAAACTCAAATTGATTGAAGTGTTGTAAAGAACTTTATTTTTTTGAAGTTTGCTAGGTTTTATAAACAAATTGATACCTACATGGCAATACACAATTTAAATATGACATATGAAATCAGATGGTGATGTTAAAACTAAATAACATTAATAACTGTTAGGTTGGGAGTGATATGATAACAAAGACTCAGATTTAGTCTATTATCATAATTAGTCATAATTTTGGTTTTTTGCTGTAGGTTATTAGTTAAGAAATATCGTATTTTAAAGGTTAACTTTTCATAGATAAAGATATAGGAAGAATCTCACCATCAAGAGTTTCTTGGTGAGATACACAAGCTAACCTTCAGGACGTTTTAAGTTTTTTTGTCAAATTTAATTTTTTGAAAGTAACTAATAAATATGGTTCTATAGTTACTTCAAAACATATACTCAAAAAGTGAACTTTGATTGTGAAAATATATTAATAGGTGAGATTTTAAAACGCAACAAGATGAGCACAAGTGACTTTTGAGATATGATCATACATCCCAGTGAACTCGAAGCACATGTTTTGTGGTATCAATTAGCATGGTGTGCATTTGGTTGAAAAATCTGCCTTTAATTCTTATTTTACTTTATAACTTTGAATGAGTACTTTCTGTTTTTCAACATTAATTTGAAAGTACAGCAACTTTTGTATTTCTGATTTTAATGATTACAACATTTCAATCCATTGTATGCGTCAATGTTAGGTGAGAGTAACTGTTACTTAATGACAACCTAATACTATGGTTCATAAAAACATTGAAATATGAAAATTTGAACTTTCCTCCCACAAAAGTTGCCATTATTGTATTTTTAAATTAATTATGCAGTTCAATAGGTTCATCACTAAACCTTGCTTTTCAAAATTGTTTGATTGAAATATCATAGGACTTAGGTTTTTTTGTTTTATTTTGTTAGTTCTGGTTAATTAACACATCTATTAGTCTGTAAGGCAATTGGTATGAGTATCATGGGACTTTAGCTTAATAAAAGTTTTTGATTTTTCACTGATAGATCAGCAAGAACAGCATTAAGGGATGTTTTTTGTTTTTTTTAGATGTTCTACTTGATGTATACATTTCTACATATTTGTCACATGCAGCATCATGCTAGTCTGTATCTTAATGTCATTAGTTTTGGTTTTGCAAAACTATTTTTTTATGTGTTATAAGAAAAGTAAAATTCTTTGCAGATGTTTGTCAAGACCAATGGCAATTCAGGACAAGTCCAAGGAACAGCATTATATCAAGCTATACAACGTATGTTTTTTAATTATTGTATTATCTGTTATTTATGAGAAACTTGTTTCTTCTTTATTTAGTTTAATGTCTTTCAGGATTTAGATTTTGGTTAGCATTTATTTTAGACACACACACACTGATGTTCATGATATATGGTAATAAGCCAAAGATGTGATAAGTCTTGGCAGAAGTCGTCCCATATAGGCCTTTGTTTCACTTTGAAGTAAACCCAGCTCATGTGTTACAGGCCATATGCCGATTACATATTCCTTGAAGTTTTTACCTGAAAGGTTGGAACGAGTGATGCCAAGCTCATCACAAACTTCATTTACTGAACCCTCACTCTTTATTATTATGCTCTCCCTATGAACGAATGCATCGTACATCGAATTCCACTACGTAGCACATGGAGTAACAAAACATTAGCCCAGTTCTTGTTGAATAAGGTCAGCTGCAGCTCTGTTTGATACAAAGCATCTGGGCCATCACAAATGCCAGTCAGGACACTTTCTTGAATATAACATAGCTCATAGGCTTTCCTACATCACTGGCTGCTACTAAACTGAGTTTATGTGCTACGTGAGAAAGCAAACCTCACTAGACTCTGTCTCATTACTAATGATAATGGAAATTTCTCGTTTTCTTCTTCTTCACTTGACTCAAGTGTGCTTTGCTCTGCTTTTGAATCACCTGCATCACTACTTACAGGTTCAGCTCTTGATTCAGAGAAGATTCTACAAAAACAAATAGTAATACCATCTTGGTGTGGTATTGTCATATTAGCATGGTATAATAATAACAAATTAATTTCTTGTACAGTGCTCCTCTGGCCATTGCCAGCCATTCAAAGTGGCGGTCACTTACCAGTCTCTACATTATTTGAAAGCCAGGTGAAAAAGATAAGACTTCAAAAGGTACTTAAAAGACTAGACAGATTTGATGCATTGTAGCTCAATAGGGAGTGATCCAAAGCTTAGGAGCATAAAAAAGAATACGATCACCTAAACATGAGAAAGAGAGAAACAGTACTGGCATTAATTAGGGATGCACGGGTAATTAAATTTGGCCGAAGACCAGGTCCAGGTATCCGGTCGCTAAGCCTCGGCCAGGTGTCAACTAGGACTGGTCCCCCCCCCCCCAAACAAAACAAAAACAAAATTGACGTTTATTACACTTACCGAATAATCACCAACAGAACACTCAAGTTTTACTTTCAACTTTAAATGCCTAGCTCCAACTTCTCAAAACCCCCACTTTCTCCAGAAATCCAATTCTCAAGCCATGCCTGTTATTAACCACTATTGTTCTCTGAATCCCCAACATTCTGCGGGTGATCAGTTTTTGTTGCTCGAACATGTTTTTTTTTAATTAAACCAATTATTGACTCTAACTTTCAGTACCACGTTAGTTGCCACAAAGATTAGGGCTTAGATGCCTAACTTCGACACTCTGCCAGAGTCGAGTATTACCAGGTAGCCCAATACCCAGCTGGGGCCGAATATGTGACCGGGTACTCATTCATCCCTATTATTAGTATATAGTAGCCTTGACCTGCAAAAACTTGTGGTAATTTTCATACCTTTGCTTGAACTTTCCTTATTTTATAACTTTCATGTACAACATTTAAGCTATGCTTTCTTTCAGGCATTATGTGTTAGGTTGATAGATCGTGTTCTATTTTAAGAAAATTTAAGCAGTCAGATAAACAAACTCAGTGTAACATAATTTTATTTAACTCTCTCACTACAGGCATCTTTTTCTGTGCATGTCACAAGGTTTTAGTGTACTGCATTCAAAATTTAATTAAACTACTTTATTATCATGGTATATGAATAAAAATAACAAACATAGCTAATAATGCATATTTTAATAGTATACAAGTTTTAAGTTCATAAATTTATAACTTACAAAGCAATATTAAAAAAATATTCTGAATTTCTCCTAGTGTGAGAATTTGTTTCTAGGCATCCCCTCTTCTCTAATTTATTCACCACCCCTCCAAGAAGTGTGAAATTCAACGTAAATTACTCATTATAATTTTATCGAGCCAATATGTAATGTGGACTAAGGCATTTCTAATGATATGAGATTTGTAGTGTTTTATTGAAAAATTTGCGATAAAAGGTCTGGACAGACAGAAAGACAGATGAAAACGTATTATTTATATAGATTAAGAGATATATATATATATTTTCATTAGTGGTCTTGGTAATTTTGTTTTGAATACAATATTTGATGTGAACTGCTTCCACCTTCTTGTCAATCAAGTCATAGGTGTGGTGGCCAGTGAGATGGCAGCAAGCAAATTCTGCATGTTCCATCTTCAGGCTTTCTGGGTCAATCCAATGCACAGTCATGCCTGAATAGGATCTGTAAAAATATACAATACAAAACTAACTAGTGAATGCAAAATGGTACACTGAACACATGCACTGCAGATGCTATGCTGAAGCTTATTTCAAGTCTCATTCTATTATTAGAGGTTTTAAATTTAGAAACAACAGTAATTATTGATAAAATGAAAAATGTTAACAATTTATTACACTTGCCTGTTTCAGCAGCTCCAACAGTTGAGTGTGATTGTGAGCCACTCTACTGTACAAAGTTTCTATTTCAGTTCATTCTTTTTTTGGGGTGAATTTATTATTAATTGTGCATTTTAGGGCCTTCCTACTGAAAACTGTTTTGTTTGGCTTTAATGTCTGAATAAGATTTTTCAAAGCTTGCAATTCAATAAATTTGAAAGGAAGCATTTCCTCAATGATCAAATCATTTACAAGTGCATTTATTTTACATTGGCTAACCCTCCCACCACAAGCAGTGATGAAGACTCAGAGTTGCTTGTTCTGCTTCATTTTTCCCAGTTTTTCTCATACTAGAAGTATTAGCCCTATCTCTGCTGCCTCAATTGACTATTTGCTTGATCCGTTTACCTCTGTTCCTTTCTTGATGCACGATTCAGAATTCTTGAGTTTATGAGAGTGTTTGTAACCAACGTGTTTCTTTAGATTAAGAAGTGATTTCTTATTGTAAGTATTCTTTTTTGGGCAAACACAACTTACACTTTAACAAAACACTTTGAGATTGAAGTCCACTTGCACTATCACTTCCAATAAATTAAAAATAGTCTTTTATGTAAGGCTGGGGATGGTTGCTTCCACGATTAGACTCAGTGTTAAAAACTTCTGTAACAGAAACATCTTTTTTACTGGATTCCATTTTATAACATTAACTAATCTACCTGGCGACACAACCTCATGCTGAATGTTGCTTTGACGGAATGATGAGCATAAATATGAAGAAATGACATATGATTACTGTTGAGAACAGGTTTATGACAGAAACTACATCATATAACACATTTGATTGTTTTTTGTAAACAAAATGCAGTGTAAATATAATTATATACAATATATTATACAAAATTATATGGTACTATTATATATTATATAAATATATTTTATTAATTATATATAGTAATGTTTATGTTTGGGATTTTTTTAACTGATTATCCTCCATGAAATATGAACTAACTGGATCATATGAATATCTTGTGATATCAATTGATACATGTTAACCAAGAAAGATCTCTTCTACAATTGTCCAGCTCAG